AGCACAGTGGTATGGGTGGTTGGATTGGGCTGATAGCTATTCGGGTCTGTCATCCATATGTGTTAGTGATTAATGATGAAATTTAGTTGAAATAACTGAAACACAGGAACCCATTTTCCAAGCACCAGTCTGTGAAAATATATCCCTCATTTCTAACTTTGGTGCAAGTCATTCCACTGCTACTTGACTAAAGGATTTTCTTTCTCTTTTGTGTGTAATTGTGTGCGAGAGAGCATGTTTGTAAGTAGATGTGTCAGAGGGCTATTACGGTCAGTTAGCGCCGCTCTTACTTCATGTCACATCTCCCATCTGCGGGTGTTTTACAATGGCCGGTTTGCCTTCAGCTTAGTGGATGCACACAATGGTGCAAAGAACGCGTGATAAACAACAACAGACAGGTAACAAACCTGCAGGAGCTCCTGCACCCAATAGTCTATTCACTGAATTGGCTTGCAGTCACAGATGTGCCATTGATGTGACCATAGCCAGCTGAGTGCATCTCTGTCCTGAAGCATATCCTGACCACTACCTTATCCTGGCTGCTGAATGTTGTGATACAGAGATGAAAACAAACATCCATTCTCAAGCACAGCAACATCCAGTACCATTATACGTTGACTTAAAGTAATAGTTAAACATTTTTGAGACTACGCTTATTCACTTTCTTGCCATGAGTTAGATGAGAAGATTGTTTCCACTATAACGTATGCTGAAGCTACAGCCAGTAGCTTGTTAGCTTTGCTGAGAATAAACACTGGAAGCAGGAGGAAACAGCTAGCCTGGCTCTGTCAAAGCATAAAAAAGACATCTAGTTTATGTAATCCGTCCGAAAACCAAAGTGTAAAAACATTTGGTTATACAGGGGTAAATTGGTGCTGGGGCATTAAATTCATGGGGCTCAGTAGTTTATTGCTTAAATAAAGCGTATTCTATTGTAAGATAAGTTTAAACTGTATTAAACCAGAAGGAAATTCTTGGGCCAGAGATTGCTCACAATTAGCCTATAGTAACATTATAGAGAAACTAATGAAATAACAATTCAAATAAGATTTACATTTAGTAAAATAAGTAACTAAAATAGAAAAGTAGTACGCCTATTGACAATGATATTGAAAAGTAATAAAAAGTAAGGTTGCAAATTGTATTGAAGAGTGGGGCTCTTCTTTTCTGTTCCATTGTTGGAATTATGTTGTGCATAAATTTCATATGCAGAAATTGGACACCCAAATAAAATTGAGGAGGATAAATATAGTGCATTTTATAGTAAAGACTCAGACATGGAGTTTTACTGTTACTGTGAACGGAGGCTCCACAAGATATATCCTCTCAGATAACCACAATTTGTTGATTATATACTTTTTTGAACGGATTAAACAAACAAGATAAAATGTGTTAACTTGTGAGCTTTAAATGTGCTGGTAGGTGGATTTTTTAATATTTGAACAGAGCCAGGCTAGCTGTTTCGCCCTAGGTCAGCCTTCATGCTAAGTTAAACTAATTGGCAGCATAACAGCTAACTTCATATTTACACAGTGGAATGGGCATTTTTCATCAAACATTTAACAGTTTTAAATTTCTGATGTTTTGTGTTTTGATCATGTGGTATGATGTTGTTCAGTTTAGTGTCAGTAATGTAGCATTAGTGAGAATAGAGCACTTCTTCTAAGCTTTTTCTAAGCACAGTACATTGTACTCAGAGGTGATTCATGTTGGAGTCGATTATGGAGGCAGAACTGATGCTTTTGTCTCTGTGTGTCTAAGCACATGCATACATGTGCCTAAATATGGTCTGAGTTTGCAGTGTGGGTGTGTAAAAAGTGCAGAATATTGAATTGCAGCTCATCCACTTCGTATGTTATTGAAGCTAGGTATAGTCAGCTGCTATACAGTACTTTCAAGTGCCTACATGGAGCTAAAAATGTCAATAGTGAGAGTTTTCAGAGCCAGGTGTACACAAGAATAGCAACTATGTACATGTTTTTTAAGAAAGGGACACGTGGGAATTCCTTGTGATTCCATCTGTGTCACTGTGCTGCCTATTTCCAGACTCTCACCCTTGCCTGTGGCATCACATGGCCTAATCAGTTTGCTTAGCAGAATTTAATACACCCTCACAGCTGACACTAACTCATAAATGAATGTGTTGTATGTAGATATAGATGAGAGTTTACTACACAGATCTCAATAGACATGCACACTATGCAATGCATTTAGATATGAACCCATGCAAGTTTTACACCCAAATCCATGAGAACAACCAGGAATCAATGGTTGAAATGTTCAGAGGCATCTCAGCATACTGTTTTAGTAGGTAGCTTACTGGTAGTTTACATGGGTCACTATTTTGGATTGACGCTTTTGGCATCCAGTTACATATGCCACAACAGTAAGTATTTAGGTTGGTCTATGCATAGTTCTTCATACTGCCATGAGTCTAGATGACAGCAAAAACACACACAGACATACACACAAGATTCATTCCTGAGTGTCTTATATCAGCAGTGTCTCTTCTCTTCCTTTGTCTAATACCATATTTTCACTAAATGATGACACAGCATACATTTTGACTTTTCGTTTCAGGAAAAGCTCAGATGTCATTAAAAGCAAAAAGGATGCATGAGACCAGAGCCCTGCAACCTGAACACCTAAATGGAATGCAATAATAATTTATGTTATTAATTACAGCTGTGCTTTTCATGCTATGATAAGTCAAATCCTAATAAGACAATGGTCAAAACAGAAAATGAACTTTGCATTCGACATTGACACTCAGCCATCCATTATTATACTCTTAGTTCTTTAGTTATACCAGTCAAACTTTGTAAATGTAGTTCATTTTGGACAAATCCCAACAATATGCACATGCGACTGCCAGTAAATGTGTGAAGAAAGGTTTCTCAGTAGTATTGCAGATCACATCACAGAAAGAGAACATATCATGCGGAGTCAGAGCACAGGTTAACCGCTTCATCTTCACCACATTTTATACCAATCACATACAAATACTAAAAAACTATTTAAATAAACCTACATGTTAATATACCAGTTCCTCACAATAACATTTAGTAGTACCACTACATCCTCACTTCTCATAGCCAGGTAGTCAGTCAAGAGTTGGACAGTCCAATAAGTAATAAGTAAAAGTCATATAATAAGTGTTTAACATAGACATTTTGACTTGTCATAGTAGAAAAAGCACAGGTGTTACTGATAACATTAATTATAACCTCGTTTTATTCATGTGTCTCAGTAAATCATGACGGTGTTACAGTAAGCCAGCATGCGAAATACCAGGACCCTGAAACTGAAGCAGCTAAATGGAATTAAGCAGTCATTAATTTTATTATCTACACCTATGCTTTTCTCACTGCGACGTCTTCTGTGAAACAGGTCTATTCTGCCTTGCTGGCACAGCTGCAAGATATTACTATTATTACAGTAACTGACTGTGACACTTGACTTGCGCACACCCATTTGAAAAACATCAAAACTTGCATGATAAAAAATTTAAAATCTAAAACATAATATGAGGGAAAAACAGCTAGTCCGAACACTATGAGAGGACCTTTATGATAATTCCCTTATTTATTTACTGTCTGTTATAATCTTCAACTTTTTTTTAATTACTTCTTTTTTATATGTATTTATTTATGTGTGTGTATATTATTATTTTTCTGTTTTATTCTTCCTTTGCGTTTTCTACCATATTTATTTCCCCAATGTTGTTTTTTTTTACATTTCTCTATGCATTTCTGCATCATTATGCAAAAGAGGAGGGCTTGTGTCTCAAGGGGTAAACTTCTCCCTTATTGGTTGACCAGTCAAACAGCAGAGATCGACTCTACGTGCATACATCAACAAGCTTGCTCCTCACACAGTCTTCCTTCAGTGAACTGAGGTCTTTAGCAACTGTTTTTCAAGACAATACTACCAGCCATGTCTTCCTTCCTTTTCGTGTGGACGCTCTGACAGACAGTGTTTCAATTTGCAGCATGCACGGACACAGAACTGTGGTAAAGTGAGCTGTTGTCTGTGAAAAACACATGGTCAGCTAGAAGCAGCTAAATCTGGAGTGCACTCGTATTCGCCCCTGTGTGGTAAATTCAGTTTTAACAGAGCAGAGCGAGCTAACGGGCTGGGTTAGAGACTTTATTCTGTCAGTTTCTCTCTTTACAAAGACAAGTGTTGCAGTCTGAGAGTCTTATCTGAAGAGAGGCTATCAAAGCTCAATAGTACGCGGTACGAGCACCACAAACAACATAATTTATCAAATAACAGACTTTGTGAAATTAGCACAAAGATACACGACACAACGTCCGGTTTTCAAAATAAGGTGTTAACACAACGTATATATAGTATGAAAACAGGATTAATTGGATTACATTCAGAAAGTATAAAACATGTTACATGTGTCCATTACGTTTTTTTCTTTCTTTATTACTTTATTATTTCATTTTGGTATTCTGGGAAAACATTAAATAATTCCTGATGATGACTAGTCTATCACATTTGAATTCAGGGTAACTCTGACTTCATAAAGATATAAAATTAAGCATTATTGGCTTAAAAAATGGCTGGTAGTATTGTCTTCAAATAGAGTTGCTAAACACCTTAGTTCACTGAAGAAAGCCATCTGACTGTGTGAGGAGCAAGCTTGTTGATGTATGCATATAATCAACCTCTGTGGTCTGACGGGTCCACCAATAGGGGAGAAGTTCAACCCTTAAGACACAGCCCCTCCTCATTTGCATAATTAGGCAGAAATGTATAGAGAAATGTAAAAAGGACAAGCAGAAATAAATACCATTGGGAAAATAAATAGAGTAAAAAATACAAATGAAGAATAAAACAGACAAAAATATTAAAACACACATAAATAAATACATTTAAAAAAGAAGTAATTAATAAATAAAGTTGAAGATTATAACGGACAATAAATAAATAAGATAATTAATACAAAGGCGAATAAATGTGCATTTAATGGATGCTTATTTATTTATTGAGCATTTATTTATGTATTTATTTCTTAATATGTCAGGATCAGTCCTCCATGGGAGTGGTACAGCCTGATAACTATAATCTAAAATATAGAAATTGTCATTCTGCTCTAAGTTTGTGATCTATGATGTTGTAAACTGGAAGCAAATCCGCAAACAAAGCAGGTGTGAATATTTTCCATTGTAGATTGAAATAATTCTGCTCCCTGTTTGTCCAGACAGCATTATCTGCCTTATTTCTGTAAACTGTCACAACTGTATATCTATTAAACACCAGGTTTGGTGAGTAAATTACTCATAAATTCACTCAATTCAAAGTGTAAACAAAAGGTCTAATTCATTTACTAAGAAATTAGGAGCATGGATCTTTTTAAGAATGAGTCTCACATGATTGCATTTAGGATCTTTTGTATGTTGCAGTAAATCCTGTTTTCTTATTTAATGAATTGAATTGTCAATCACCCTCAAAGATGGGACACTGCACTCAAACCAGTTACCCAACAAAGAGGTAATGAAGCAGAAATCACTTATCACACTCTTGTTTACTTTCCATCCAGCAGAGCTTCCAAAACCGACCTCAGCACATGTTGGTTCTAAACTTCACAAACATACTGCAATTTGTTTCTTGGCTAAAAGATGAGGGAGGTTAACTATCAGCAAAAAAAACTACACACCACTGAACCAATGATCGACACACTGACACATCTGCAAATAAGCTCAATCACTTAAATGCACTGTATAAATGCATTTAATCCTCTCATTTCATACCTATGAGTAGAATGATCACACCACTTTAAATTTCCTGGAGAGGCTGTGAAACTAAGTCTCAATTCTGCTTTTCTTGTTGCCATTATGGTGATCCACTGGCAAAAGTTTTGCTTGCAAACAATGCTATTTTTGTAAGTAGGGTCTAGAAATATATTGTTATAGTAATTAGTAACAGGTGTATATATCCAGTTTCTAACATTATAGGTACAAAACAAATGTCCCAAAAGCCCAATTTATTTTGGTTCCTTGAGAAAAAAAGTGTTGGTTTATTGGAAGGGAAAACCGCCATTGTCTTTAGGCCTTCTGATTTTGGTCTCTCTATCTAATTTTAGAAAAAAAAGTCCTTAATGTTACAGTAACAAGTAACAATGGTTTCTACTGGATAAAGTAGGTGATGCTCAAATGAGGTGTGTCAACAAACTAACATTACTCACAAAGTGAAGATATTTTTCCCACTAGCAAAAACAATCGGCTTAAGCTGGTTGATAGTTTGAATTGGACTTTGATGAGTACTGCTGTTCCTTTGTTGGAACTAGCTGGTCCCAGATGGGGGTTAAAAGAGTAGTTTGACATGAGATACAAATTTTCTTGCCAAAAGTGCAATGACAAGATAAATACCACTCTCATGTCTGTCTGTTCAATTTAGCGCTATACAGCCAGCAGCCAGTCAGTGTAGCTTAACATACAGACTGGAAACAGCTAGCTTGAGTCTGTCCAAATGTAAGAAATTCTGCCTACAAGCACCTCTAAGGATCGCTAATTACCGTTCATCTTGTTAGTTTAATCTGTACAATAACATAAGTGCAAAAATGAAAATTTGCCATTTTTAATGAGAGAACTAAGTGCCAGATTGTTTCTTGGCAGGGAACAGTTGCCAGGCGACTGGGTCACTGGGAGACACTCCTGGCCAAGAAAAAACATACAAGATATAACAAGTAATGAAGTGCTGATAGGTGGATATAGTTAACTTTCAACAGAGGCAGCAGGCTAGCTGTTTCCCCCTGTTTTCAGTTTTAATGCTAATCTAAACGAACAGTCTATGGCTATTAGCTTCATATTTAACGGGCAGGCATGAGAGTGGGATCAATCCTCTCATCTAAATCTTGGCAAAAAGTGATAAAATTAAGTTCCCAAAATGTGAAACTTGAGCTGGTAAATGTGACCGTTGATACTGGTACACAAGCCAAAATGAGCATGTGCTGATATTATGCTGATGCTTCCAAGATAACCAGAATGACTAATATAAGCTCTTTTGACACCCTGTATAACCACATCACACTCAAATATTACCAAGTAATATAGAAACCATTATAGAAAAGCCATACATTTGCATACATGGTAAGTAATACCCAAGGGCTCAGGACCTCTACAAAGGCAGCCAGAGTGTGTTATGTCAACTGAAAGCCCACTACAAATTAGAAGAATGACATTCCTCATCTCTCTTGAATCATTTCTTTTTCTCTTTCGGAGCTGGACAGACTCCACTTGACTGGAGTATCACTAGATGGTCCTGGAAGCTGTCAGGAGGCACTGTGGGAATCCATGGCGGGCAGAGTGGCATTAAATCTTTTAAACAGTGTGTGACGTTTTCAAATTCCCGTTGCCATGGTCACTCCTGACCCGCGAGGTACCACCCGTTGCACTGGTTCCATCCTCGTCATCCACATCCAGCTGTTCATCCTTCTTCTTGATGTAGCGCTCATAGAGCACCATAATGACACCCATCACCCAGGCCGACACAGTGCCGGCAGCAAAGATGACAAAGCCGATGACTACAAAGAAAAGGTAGTCCCAGGAGCCCAGAGTCTGGTGACATAACGTCCGCAGCTGGATGCCCACCTCACCCAGACGACGGCCCTGCATGTCAGCAGGTGAGCCACACACCGTAAGGCCCTCATCTGTCAAAGAGACAACACCAAGAAGGAATGATTGGGGATTAATCATAGGACAATTGAATACAATACATCAACATATTTGTAAGGAAATATAATTTAATAATTGTTACACTGTGAAGTGCACTGGAGAAAATGCATTTTCTCACTTTTCTCATATTAAAGAATTCCTGGCTGGTAGTTTTATAACAAATAACGTTTACGATAAACAGGGCAGCTGTCCTAGAGTGGCTTCATTCAGCCACTCAACCCTGCGCATGCAGTGTCTTGATCAGCACTGCATGTGCAGGGTTTACATTTCTTTCATGACATCAATTTAGGACAATCCCTTGACAGTAGCAAATAAAACTGCATTAGGTCTTTTTCTATAAAATGTTGTTGTTTTTGTTTAGTAAAGCAGAACACATGCATACATAATTAATTTTAAAGCCCCTGAAAAAGTTGGTTTAAAATCTTAATTGTTTTTTGATAACATTTTAACATTCAAAAACTCAGCTGATCTGCTTCTTCAGGTCTTTGGTTGCTGCTGTTGGCAAAATGACCCCACAACTGCCTCCATATGTTGACTGAAATACTGACAAACTCTGATTGGTGCACAGAAGTACATTTACTCATTTGGCAGATACTTTTTCTCCAAAGCGACCTACATTTGAGGAACAACATACGAGCACCAATAAAGTAAGAAATCTACAATTGACAATAAATACTAGTAAGAGATAATAGTGCGTGCGGCATCAGTGGGGTAAATATCTACGGAAAGAAGTAAGAGGTAACAAAGTAGTGCAATCAATACAAGAGAATTGTAAGGAGATACCAGAAGAGGAGTACACGAAGTGCATGTTAGACGTTAGGGGTTAGAGGTGTTATGAGAGGAAGTGTTCTCGGATGTACATGACATCACCTTGTTCTTGCTATGCCCACCCACCTCAAACCAGTGAGAAAACCAAGGACAAAAACAAAAATACAGAAATAACTAAAACAGTTTTAACTTCGGAAGAAAATAATGTGCTGTCGTGGAACCCTGTCACGCAGAGTAAAAAGCTGACTGAGAAAATATATTTTCATGGCCTTTACAGTGCATTTATCTGCTCATCTCCAGCACAAATATCAAGTACATTTACTTACATAGAGCAAACACATACATAGCCTTGGCATATAATAATCATATGATTTAAAGGTACCTTTGATGTTATGAGAGCCAACAAAATACAAAACTAACTTAACAAGAAAATATTATACATATGGTATTAAAAAGAGCAGCTTGTTAAATATTGTTTTGCATAACATTTGTAAATGGCAGCAAACTGAGCTGAAGTTATCTATAACATATTCAGGTTCATACTGCTAAAAGACTAAAATGCAGAAAGCTTCACTAGCATAACAATGCTGCCTTATTTATCAGAACTCTACAAGGCTTAAGGAGCTTCCAGTGTACTAGAGTCTTGAGTTGGTGCAGTATTAAATTACAACAACAATAAATAAATCATGGATGAATTATTTATTTAACTCCTTTCACACCCAACAGGATTAAAGAGTAACTTGGGCCTTTGTGTTTGTGTCTGCCTGTAAGGTTTCTCATCATCAGGCACCAGGTATGACTAAACCCTTGCTGAAATCCATAAATCCTGATAAAAATGTTGAGTTCTTTCTCTTTCAGAAAAGTACTGTAGATGGATACAATTTTAAAAGGTCTATCAGTCAACATAAATATGCCATATAATGGCTGTTAAGCCCTGCAGCAGCTGAAAATAATTCTGAAACTTGGCTTTTACCGTGAGCAGAGACACAGCACAACACAACAGAGTGTTGCCATCTCCCTACAGCCACTGTTTTTAATTGGCTTCTGTTTTTTCAAAGCTTTTGTGCTAGGGAGAATTCCCACTGGGAGAGATGAGAAGTCTTTGAGTTTTTGCACTGGGAACAGTATTCTGTAACCCTATTTCTACACCCACAAACTTAGAATACACATTCTCATTTGCTGGCATATGAAAAAGTGACTTAAAGTGACACTGTTGATCCATTACCTTTAGCTATTTCAACAATTTTTACAATTACTTTTGCTAAATTAACTATTTTAACTGTCATGTATTCTTTTAGTAAACAATTTCTCCAAAGGTTGTAGGTAGTTATGTCAACTATTTATTCATTCATTTGTTTATTATTTCATTTATCCATTACTTTTAGCTATTTGACTTCTTAATTCATTAATTTTGGATAATAATTTTAAATGTTTATCCCCTATTAGCTAACTATTTTCAATTTCTCTGCTAGCTTGCTAACTAGTTTTCATGCACTCTCAGTAGCAACACATGGTGTTAAGGTGTTATAACTGACTCAGGCTGGTGGGAGGTGTGATCTGTGTGAGAGGGATCATACTGTAGCTTTCAATCAAATCACTTGATAGGATGACTGAAATGTATGTTCTCCTAATATTTTATTCACAGTGCATAAATCTGCAGTCCTATCCACAGAGAAGCTTTACTGTGGTGAACATTTTTGAAAATGAGTGTGCCGCTGAAGAACATGAGGACACTCAGCTCCTCTAAGCTCTATCTACCACAGAGAATTCAAAGCCTACTCTGATCCTCTCAAAGGCTGCTGCTGCGCACTGTTCACACAATATGCTGTTCTGACTCTGGCTATTACAAACACACACATTCATGCATGTACTCACAGACACATGCACAAACCCTTTCCACAAGACTTAACTTTCTCATTTTCTATCTCTGCCCTTGCAGAGTCTAAGTGTGTGTGCGTGTGTGTGCATGTGTGTGCGTGTTTGTGTTTGTGTGTGTGTGTGTGTGTGTGTGTGTGTAACTGACAGCAAGGAAGGAAACCCTTCTGGCTTCACCCCCCCACCCCTGCCCAAAAGGGACTGGCATCAAAGAAGAGGGCTTTCCCTCCCTCTATTCCCCATACACACTCTGCTCTATTTCTAGAACCTCTCCTTATATAACAGAGTGCTAATCTAGCCAGGAAGGCGAGACAGAGGAGAATCTGTTGGTTCCTTCCTCAAGCTTTCGCTGTCTCTCTCTCTCTCTCACTCGCTTGCTATTGATGCGTTGCCTAACCCGAGGAGACAAGCGAGCCGTGTTGCATGAACCAGGTGAGACCCAGACAAGAGATAACAAGGCTTTGGAGACAGAGCTCCCAGCTGAAACACAGTCGTCTCCAAAATGTTATCCTTCTGTCCCCCCACCCCACTCCAACACCAAAAGTGTGCTTTATCAACTGTGTTTGTGTGTCTAGATGCATGAATCAGTGATTTTGTATTTTTCACTTTAACTGTGACTATGAATGTGTGTGTGTGTGATTTTTCACATGGTTTAGGAGACAAGGCACTTCGTTTCAGAGAGAACGAGGCATTGCTGTGCTGTCTGCTTTAAAGAGATGGTAGAAATTTGTGTGCGCCTTCTGCCTTGCTGGCAGCTGTCACTGGAAGAGACTCCACTACAAATTAAGCTAGACAAAAGGCAGTGAGCAGAAGGAAAATAGGACAACTCTTGCAGGACTTGTTTTGGATTCGGCCTAAGCTGCACAGGGACCGTGGTGAACTATAGCGTGAGTGTGTGTGTGTGTGTGTTGGGGGGGGGAGCAGGGGACGCCTTTTAAGTGAGTGTGGTGGGTGTATTATAGTTATGGCGTTAGAATTGTGATTGGCTTCTTGCACAGTAAGACACACTATAAATAGCAGCTGCCCTTTTGCTTAGTGACACATCCACACCAAAGCCTGAGCATAATAACTCAAAGTAAGAACAAGTGTTTAATATTAGACACATCTATCAGCCTGAGAGTAATAAAATAAAGGGGGAATCAATATTTGATGGCGCAACTATGATCCATTAATCACATCCGCAGTATACCAATAGCTGGATAAAATAGAGATTGATTAGTCATTTCAAGATAAAAGACTCTCTTGTTTTCCTCCCAAACTGCAGAACGCAGAGCTGAATAAATTAGAAAAGCTATTTGATAGGCTGAATGCTGTCACGCTCCACTGCCGTCACCTGCGTCACCATCCCACTGGAAGCTGAGAAAGGGGTGAACTTTGCAGACCTCACCAAACTGCATGATGGTTGCATATGTGTATATATGGCACACATACATCAGCACATTTTGCACGACACACTGTAGCTACCACAGCGAACATAATACAATTGTGGGTGAGGATGGCATGATGTTATCTGTTGTGCGGTCATAGGCGCAGACGTGACAAGGAATTTTTAAGTTGTGAGGGAATTCCAGCAGTGAGGGCTCTGCTAGATCGCCATGGAGTCACTGCTTCCATGAAGGGAGACTTTTACTGCCATTTTTATAGGAATCACTTTTGTTAAGTAAATTTTTAATGCTTCTCTTTCCTTTTTACATGTTTAATTGACTCCAGCTTTAAATAAGACTCTTTATTCAATATAGGCTTTATAAGTGGTTAGTCCATATTTGTTTTAGAAATCCATTATATACAATTAATAATTACAATTGTAGGGTTGTCTGGTTGTGAAAAATCATTCTGGGTGATGTTTTGACATGCTGGAGGAGGGTAAAGACAAATTGGCAAACTGCCATGGGGGCCCAGAATTGCAGGGGACTGGAAGCTTCAGTCTGTGTGTTTGTATGTTAATATTTGGGAATATACAGCACTGACATCATGAGACCCTTAAAGTGGGTCCTGCTTTATTTTGTAATGCAAGAGGTCTGTGTCATAATCTAGTTAGATCAAGACTTTTATTTTTTTCAGTTTTGCTTATTTGTTTCATATTCCACAATTAAAGAGTCTGATTGATATTCAACCATACAGGTTCCATAAAGTGTGTGTGCGTGGGAGGGATGGGGCGTTCACAAACTGGCTAATCAAAAGTTGGTCTCATTAATGACTTAAAAGCATTAGTAAATTATTTACAAAAATTTAAAGACCAATGCCTCATGAGAAACTTTGCTTTCTCTTTCATAACTATTTTCTAAGATGTCCCCATTAATATAAAACACTTTCTTATTATTTCTTGTATAAAATGTGTCCCAAAAATGCGTTTTTATTTTTTCATGGGATAGGCTACAGACTTATTGAGGGCAATCACCAGCAAAAGGCCAATAGTTTACATAACCGGGCATTACCTAATAATTAATAACTGGAGCACAGCAGCTCATGTGATTGGCACTCTGGGGCCTATCCATTTGACAGTAAGGAAAAGGCAACAGTAAAGTATCATATGATGATGCCAACTACACCTTATATGTCATTAGATTAAAATAGAATAGATAATTGATAAACCTTGGAACTTGAAGCCCTCCAAGTGGACCCACAGGCACAAGTCTTCGTTGTCGCACTCGCAGCTCCAGGGGTTCCCGCTCAGTCCCACCGAGCGCAGGGAGGGCAGCGCGATCAGGGAGGTGATGTTGAGGATGGTCAGATTGTTCCGACTGACATCCAGCACCTGAAGGGCCGCGTTTTCCGCAAAGGCGTCCGTGTGAATCTCCGAGAGCCCCGGATTGTCGGTCATCCTCAGCATCACCAGGCTCGTCAAGGGGCCGAACGTCCTGTCCTCGATCCGGATCAAGGTGTTGAAGGAAAGGTCCAGGTAGGCCAGCTTCCGTAGATTCCCAAACGTGGACTCGGATATCTCCGTCAGGGAGTTGTTGCTGCAGTCCAGGTACACCAGGTCGGAGAGGTAGTTGAGCGCGAGCGGCGGCAGCTCCACTATGCGGTTGTTGGAGATGATGAGCTGCCTTGTGGCCAGCGGCAAGTTGACCGGGAAGGTGGTAAGGTGCTGCCCAGCGCACTGAACCACCAGCTGGTCATCACACACACACTTGTCCGGGCAGCCCGAAGACAGCACCGGGGATGTGTTCACCCCCGCGGTGAGGAGAAGCAGAACTATGAGCCGCAAGGGTCGCGCGCTTGGCTGCGGGGCAAGACGCATGACACCGCCGAGGGCTTCATCCACCCCGTTTGGAGAGAGTCCGATGCAGTCACATTCTTCATTGATACATCCGCACTGAGTTGTTTGTCCCAGAAATGATTTCCACAGAGGTCAAACCTAACGCTCCCCCGTGGCAACCGCTTGCGCGTAATGTCTCAGTTCATCCTGTCGTTGGTCCTGGATCCAGCGCGCATCAAGTGACTGGAACTTGACAATCAGATGCCTTCATGCTGTTTCACATTTCATTGCTTTATCGGGTTTCTTCCATCAGAACACATCTATTCACATATCGTAAAAGCTTACAACATCCTCTCATGCTGCGCTGCTTGCAATGATCACGGTCAGTTGTTCCACAACATGTTTGCCATCGTCTCGCTTTCCGAAACTGAAAACTGAATCCACATGAGGGGGGCGCACTGAACTGCGCGGAGGGTGGGGGTGGGGGTTTGTCATGGAGTGATCTCACGCTTTGAAGTGAGCTGTGGGGAGGTGGGAGGGGGGCTCTCTGGGCAGCAGGGGTAATGGAAATAACATTTTAAATGGGATATAGGGACAAAGTGCATAGTTGTGGAATAGACAGTAAAGGTGACCTACAATGCTCCAGTTGCAGGCACAATGTGTGTGGAAGCTGCATCCAATAATGTATGTATGTGTATGTACATATCTGTTTGTGGGCATGCATGTGTGGTGGATACTTTTTATCAGCCTGCCTCAGGTGTGTGTGTGTGTGTGTGTGTGTGTGTGTGTGTGTGTGTGTGTGTGTGTTTGTGTGTGTGTGTGGAGGTAGAACAAAAAGCAGGTGCACCTGAGACCTGGGAAACACACTGTACATGATCAGATCACATGGGTTTTTAGGCTTTGGAAATGAGAGTGGGGCAGTGATAACAGAGTGTTGAGAGGGGGATCCCTGTCAGCCTATCTACGCCACTCAGACCTAGGTGCAATGAGGCTTTTACAAAAAAACAGCCATAGGCATCCAACCCTCCGAATTCATACCATACCGAGCATACAGCCAACAGATGATGGGATGAGATGAGATGGGTAAAGGTGGTCTCAGGCAGCAGTTATTTTTCTCCTCTCGCCAGTCTCAGTATGAGTCCGGAGTCTATTCTTGGCTCTCTGTGTAGGTGTTGAAGTGCTGAATCAGACTCAGTATGATGGAGGAGGAGGACAGATGTGCCGCTGACAGTCCGTGAAAGGATCCCCCCCGAGTCGACAGTCAACAACCCACAGCACGCTGACCACACTCTCTCTTTTTCTCTCTCACACACATCCATAAAATGAAGTTTAGGTTTTTTTCCTGTACTATAAGTATTCCCAGGTGTGTTTCTCACTTGCCATCCTGTGGATTGAACTAATCCACACAGCTGTTTTGTGTCAAGGATATTCAGTGGCTTTATGAGGACATCTAGTGGCAAATACTTGGTAATGTTTAACACAGTGAGTAGCTGTCATGCAACAATCCTCTTATATACTTTCTTTTCACATGCATAGTTTGCAGCTTGACTTGCAATTCCACAGGACCCATAGACTATCCAAATGTATCTTCTGATGACACATAAAGCACAGATATATTCTACATCTTCTGATCAGTTGCCCACTCATAACTCAAGCTGTTTAGTCAAACACTGTTCAAACCCAATGAGCTTTTATTCTAAATTCTGGAGGAGATCTCAAAGTTTCTAAATATACCAAATATGTCAGGCTGAATTTTGGGAGGATTTGCATAAAATAGTGCAGAAGTCTCCTTGAATATTTCAATTTAGAGTATGGTGCTGTGTATATTTGATTGTTTTTGTAATGTCAGTCACATTTCACCATTGTTGCAAGGCCTTGTCTCCCATATTTATCTCTATGGTTAATCTGCATTCATAAAGCAGTTGTTTTGTTATAACACAACTACTGACATGTGGGTTAATCTACATCCAACAAGTGTTGGCATGTAAAAGGTTGTACAAAGACAGTAAAGACATCATCGCTGGAGCAACCTGTGTGAGCAACATGGCAAAATGATGTCCATCAATCACAATTAATGGCAATTCAGAGATTAAAATAAGTCAGTGGTCAGCTCAACAGAGGGCATTATTTTGGCTGGCCTCCATTTAGGTTTACAAGGATCAGGGCCCATGTATTTGTGAACTGGCTCACTGACACAGAGTAGTACTGTTATTACTGGCACATGTGCTTTTCTGATATGTCAAGTCAAAATATCTGTCCTAAAAAAGGAAGTAAAAGTTGGCACTGTCAGCTAAACAGATGTTTTCTTGAATATATCGATCAGTCAATTATAGAGCAAAGTTTCCTTTTTGTTTTTTGGTCTCTTAGACCCATCTCTTCAAACCTGCAATGTCTGATAACAATATTCAAGCAATGATGAATCTACATCAGGCTATGAAATAAACCAGAGAGGAGGAGGTGACCACACATCTGCAATCAGGGACCCACTGCTTCTCCTTGGAAGAGATGTTGTATTTTAGGCAACTTGAGAGCACTGGTTCCCAACATTATTGGTTTTTAAAAAAAGAAGCAGTGTCTACTTTGATCCCCTTATCATAGGCGTTAGAAGTCTGTGAGTGTATTCAAATGTTGATGGAATAAGTTAGATTTTCATCTTTGCAAGTGAATACACTTCCTGTGCTCTTCTTCTTCTATCTCATTACAATGTTATTGTATTCATTGCACTGTTTGCTAACTCTTACTTCTTTCTCTAGGTACCTACTCCATCCATGTCGTACACGCTAATAGCTCTTACAAGTACTGCTGCTCTTACTACAGGATTTAATAGGTTGAAAAGGTAGGCTAATTTATCTTGGCTGTTATCACCATTGTAAATGCTACCTTTGTTGATGTATTTATTTGTTGTTGTTTGATATGTAGGCCTATTTGTTACTCCCAGCTGTGATCTAAATTGCCCATCAGGGAAATTAAGATACCTTGAACCTTGATGGTTAATATTAACCATTGAAACATAGTTTACCTGCTGTCTAGGGCGCATGTCAGATGAGTGGAACTGATCATTTGAGGAAATGTTGCTGTCGACCACTGAATCGCTCGGAGTAATTACGTGAATCAGTGAAACCGGATTTTCCCATTACATCTGACAAATATTAGCTATATAAAAGCCGTAACAGTCGAGTAAATCATTTCACAAAAGGTAGCAGCACAAGCGGACACCACGCCCTACGTGTGACGTAGCCACGTACGTACACGGACGTATTTGAGTTGCAAACTTAGGGGTGGTTGCTGTGTTTTTACTAGAGTGCTGTCAACCTCGTACATTGCATCTTAAAGGTAAACGCTTACTTGACACATGATTCCTGTGATTTGTTTTATGTTTCCTCACAAACTTGTTGGTCTGACATTACGTTAGTGGCATCGCAGAATACTTTGACCTTTCGGTTTTAAGACGTCCTTGTGTTCGCTGATGGTTTCTCGGCCTCTTTCTCCTCTGTGGCAGATTTATAAACTGTTTGTGTGCCAGAGAGCAAGAAAGTACACAAGCAGCCGAATGCTGCGCATTGATATCCATGAAAAATCAGCATTTTCTGTTACTTCTTTCCCGACAAAGAACTGTCCCTTTCTCAGCTAAAAGAAAAAAGGGGGGGGGCTAGAAAAGTAGTCAATTAGTCAAAAGCTGAAATGCTAAAACAATATAACCTATAATATGCACTTTTTATTTGGAAGAAACAACCAAAACTAATTCGGCTGTTATTTTTCCTCTTTTAAAGTCTGTCAAGATGGTGGTGCTTTCTAAAGAGTACGGATATGTGGTTTTAACTGGTGTTGCCAGCATGGTGATGATTGGACATCTGGCTGTGAAAGTTGGCCTGGCCCGCAAGAAGTACAATGTGCAGGTGAGCCCAAGTATTGGTGTTCAAATACAAGTAGCAGAATATAGCCCCTTTTTCTCATTCACACAGTGAAAATCTGCTCCCACCCATTCAAACACCACCACAGCAAGTCAATAGTTTGTTTTGTGGTACATTGAAAGGTGCTTTGAATTGCCTATAAACTGAATAAACTTGCCTTTCAGTATCCTCAGATGTACAGTGATGATCCAGAAACTGGAAACATTTTCAACTGCATCCAGCGTTCACACCAAAACACGTACGTATGAGCTGAAATATGTGCATTACAAGTTAGGAGGTATTTGCACACAGTCATTGATATTGCGCCATGCTTTCATTCATAGTAACAATAGAAAAAGAGGTGACAGTTAACATGTTGTTATCGCCTCTCATCAGCCTGGAGGTCTACCCCGCCTTTCTTTTCTGCCTGGCTGTTGGTGGTTTGCATTCTCCTGTAAGTTGATTTCTGCATATTATACTGTAGCACCGACATACCACTTACAAAATAAGATGTTACATAGATGATCTTTAGCAATTAAAGCACACAATTTAAAGTAGGATAATGATTTGCGTGGATTCTGGAAGAAATGTACGGTCTTCTTATTAAATCCCCTCTGCTTATGTGTGTCTGTCAATCACAGCGTCTCGCCAGTGGACTTGGGGCTGTATGGATTTTAAGCAGGGAGGTGTACGCACATGGGTACTCTTCAGGAGGTAAGAACATGTTGGGAAGCCCATAATATAATCTACATTTCTGCTTTTGTAACGCAAAGCAGTGTGCGAAGGTGCTAATATTTATCACTATTAATCTCATTTAGATCCTAAAAAAAGAGGGCGAGGAGCGTTTGGGGGCGTGGCTTTCCTCGGGTTGATGCTGACCACTATCAACTTCGGCCGTCACCTGCTTGGCTGGACCGGACCACGGATGGGCTCCTTCCGTCAAGCTAACTGTTGCTAGTAAGGACAGAGTCTTCAGGATGGGCTCCCTCTGTGACCTTATAATCAAAGCCACCCTACATAACCCACATACCCTGCAACGTGTGTGCTAACCTCTGACATGTGGCCTGACAGGTTCTCCAGGGAGGGGATAATGATAATGTATGTGGTGCATTCACTCATCAGCACTCCCACAACATACATGACCTGTCAGTTTGTCTTGATAGCATTTTCACCTGCAGCCTGATTTTGAAATTTTAAGTTAGTTGGCCACCTGAATATTCATAATATATGTTTTTTGTTTTTTTCAATAAAAAAATAAAGATGCTGCTGTAGTAATATATTAGTCTTATGCCTGATGGACTTTGTGATTTAGGTTTGCATTTGCTTAGCTGAAAAAGCCAGATTTTGTACTTGAATGAAAAACTGAAAATGATTAATCAAAAGTATAAACTCCAATATTCCAGACATGATTATTGTCTTTATTAATTTCAGATGTTCTTTCTCATGCTAAAAACAGGGTTTTGACATTTGTCATTCTGATGATATTAAATAACATTGGTTATAAATATTTTTATTGGGAGTTGAATTGGTATTTATTGAATGTCAGCTGTTAAAATTGGGGTGAGCAGCTTCTTTTTTAAGATGAGTAATTGTCCACATTACCTGTCTAGCAGGTGAATTCATTTCTCTGCAGAGCTCCTGGCCTCATTCATGTCATGTCATGACACGACATGCTTTATAACTCGCCAACATACAATAACTGATTAAACAAGGTCCCCCCCTTCTAAGCATATGCGACTTGAGGCTTACAGTACTGTGGTTTCTGTTTTATTATCAAACAAGAAATCCTTATATCAGTTTAACTCTTACAGTCTACATTTCAACGGCATATTATCATACAACACTGTTGGCACTTAACAGTAAAGTTACACACCAGGTAAAAACTGATACAACAGCTTAGTTCCTGCACATTTGAATGATACTCCAGCTAATACAGATACAGGTAACGACAATCTAAAGTTTAAAAAACTCTCTTGTGCCTCTTCTTATTGTCTCCACTTAAGCATTTGAAAGAACATTTTGTGTGCGGGAACAAACATTCTTTATAAATAGGCATTTCACAACACATTTAACAATAATAGTTTATTTCAGTTTTACAGTTTACGCATATTAAAGTGTTTATTTAGTGTAGCAATTTCTATTCTCAGTGTGCCTTGGTGGATTGACATTCATCATCAAAAACAGAATCACCAAATTCAAGTTCTATATACCAGCATCAGACCATGATGATAAAAGTTCAACAAGTGTAACTACACATTAAAGGCTGCAACAATAAATATTTTCCACATAGAATTTGGGGTAATTTGGTCAGGAAATTTGAATAATTGAATCGAATGGCTTGTATGGTAAGAGATTTGGTCTGTTTTCATGGCTTTTCAATTGTAAAATCATTTGCTTTTCTGCAAGACCTCAGTTTTAAGACAACACATGCAACCTGGCAATTTGGTTTGAAAATGCACTTCACTGATATTTGGTCACATAAGGGATTGTGGGATTGTGATTTATACTCCTCAATAGTTTTAGACATGTTGGCAACTTTCCCTTATGTCTTAAAGCACTTGGTATCCTCATTCTGTCTTTGTCCCCCAGTCTCTTAATTCTTGCTGTATAACCTGAGGTTGTCTATTAATTACATCGGTGAACTTTGTGCACCCTTGATCCACATTACCTCAGATGTCCCCTGCGGGGCACTGTGACCATTCATGCCACATTAAAGTGCTGTGCATACATGAGGAGTCAGTCAGGGGTGCAGAGGTACTAATAACTTGCTAAGTTTCGACCAGACTGAAGATCTCCGGAAATTTAAAGGGAATGTGGAAAAACCTCCCATTTAAAAGACTCAATGAATCCTTCACATGGAACAGATCAACATTTTCATCACTGACCCAAAACTCTCAGTCACAAGGGGGAACTCATCTGCAGAGATGCTACTGCATCCAGGCAAAGGCTTTTCTTAGATCCACACTGGTCTTCCTTTTGTGTCTGCTTTACTTCTGTTCTCTGAGTGGTGGAAGTCAATGGACTGATTCCATTAGTAGCTGTATCTGGAGAGCGGCGTGTCCTCCATCAAATCATCCTGGAGGAGATGATTAAAACAAGTGCACTGTTAGAGTAGTACAGTTGTTGAGATTGGCTTTGCAAAGGTGAGAAAATTGCAGTTTTTCACTTTCAACTGTGCATTGGGATTTTGTGACTTTTATTTTCTAAATATGTCTGATGACAGCTATTGAGCTCATGCGGTCAAAAATAAACAAATTTTTAGTTGTAATCTTGTGCACAAAAGATAAAATTAAAAAAAAATTCAGGATTTCAAGGGGCTCTGTAGATAAGTTTATGGAGTTAAAATTACAAGCAGTGTTTAACTGAAAAGAACTGACTTGTTTTAAAAACAAAATCTCTCATAGATTTGAACATTAGTGGCTGTCCTAAAAGTACGATTAAAGTTTCTAACCACTAACCTTCCTGATAGCACACTGACTGAGAGTGGAAAAGTTAAGCACTGTAGTGTCACTTTTGAACGCAAAAGGTATAGGCGTAGGATATTTGATAGAAAAGTCCAAATAAGCAGGTGGTTAAGGGTGGATGGTTGGGCCAGAAACAGACTTTCACTTAGGAGACCGGTGTTCATTTCCCATTATATATAAAAAGACAACACTGAATGTTTTTATTAAAGTTACGTTGACCCAAACCATGATGTTTTCCGAACCCTAACCAAGTATTTTTGTTGACTAACCTAACCAAATTGCAACTTTTCACAACTTTAACAAGTAGTTTTATTCCGAAAGTCTAACGGACGTTGCATATTTATTGTTACTAACTTGACTGAGGTGCCCTAAATATCAAAAAAGCGAGGTGTGTTGACTAAGCGTCCATATGTGATGAGCCGGGAGTCTTCATAGTTTGGATCAAGCTCCAAACTGGATACTACATTTGCCATAATGCAACTGGATTCTGTCATTCATTAGCTCCTTCCTGCCTGGCCACCCACTCAACTCTACACCCCCAACAAATCCATAAAAAAACTGAATTTTAAATCCTAGTAGAGATAACCCTGATGACATCATCAGGGGTTATTTTCTCAGACTTTAGACAGCTTCCATTAGAGCCACCGCAGACATACATCTGTTTTCACATGTGGAGTTGTGCTCCTCAGGACAAGTAAACTGTAGTGCCCCTTTAAATACTTAAACAAAACCAGGGGATCTTTAACAACCATACTGTATTGTAATGCATGTATGTGTATATAAAAGTGTATCCCACCATAGGTAGATCCTGCAGCCGATGGAACTCCGGGTGGTTTGTCCGCTGGCGGAACTTGAGGAAGAGTATAACGAAGACGACAGCGGTGGTGACAATGAACACTGACAGGAGACCAGCCAGCAGGGGGTCTAGAGGGGAGCTTGAGCGGTAGCGGGGTCCCTTGAGGTCTAAATGACCAAACATAATGAGACACGTTTAAGATCGAATTAGAAAAAAAAGGCCTGACACAATTCTCTCTCACCTGTTCATCACCTTACCTTCATCTCCAACATTAAGCTCCGGCGGGACCTCTTGGTGTGTTGGCCCCGCAGGATCCCAGCCTGCAGCTGAAGTCAGAGGGTGTCCTGTAGTTGTTGGCTGTGCTGTGGCCGTGGTCAGTGATTCAGACTGTGGCTGGATGGTGGAGGCGTTTGCTGTAGGGCTTGTATCCTGCACTGTGTGGGCTGGCTGAGGTGAAGAGGTGGTGAGGGGATCTCTGGTCAGAAGGGCTATGCCTTCAGTGGTTGAGTTGTGTTGCGGGGGGGAGGTGCTCTGTACAGTCGGCGTGGATGAAAGGTTGTCTGCAGCAGCTGAAAGTGGTTATGTGAGGGCAGTGCTGTATCAGTTCAAACAGTACAGAGCATTCTTCAAAGGAAACGCATCACACACTCAGCAGCCAGAGGGAACTCATACACTATCCTGCTCATGAAAACTGATCACTCCCACTGACATTAAAGCTGCTATCCATAATTTTGTTGTTGGCACCACCTATTCTGCCCAGAGCCAGCACAATGGCAGCAACCTGTTTTTAACACAGTTTGTATTTTCATGCATCAAATCAACATCATAATAACGATTTGCTGCATCTTTCATGTTTAGCAGCAGCTAATTCAGATAAACAATATCCACACAAACACCATCATGAACATTGTTTTTGTTTTGTTGCTGAAGAGAGCGACAACGTGCAGCTTTATGTCACGGAACTAAAATACAGATTAAAGGATTGTGGTGTGAATTCATCAAACATTAGAATATCAAAAACTGGATCAAGTGAATTGGCAGAAAATTTATGAATAACAATTTTGATAAGTGATTAAGCAGTTTTGAAGCAAGAAGGGCAATAATTCGCAGGTTTTAGCTTCTCAAATGTGAATATTTTCTGTTTTTCTTACACTTGTATGCTAGTAAACTGAGTATCTTTGGGATTCGGACGGTTGTTTAGACAAAATACATTTGAAAATGTGACTATCATTATTATATAATCAAAATAATCACAAGATTTATCGATAATGAAAACAAGTTTTAGCTGTAGCCCTGGGGAACACAGTTAAGTTTCACAAAGCTAGTGTTTGTTACAGGCCTGTTGATTGCATTGCAACACAAAGGAGTTTCTGTTTTTTAGCCACCACAGAGGTCAGATGATGTTTCTGTTTTCTCTGCAGAAACTGAATACACGTTGAGATAAACACACCAGGTTCGCTGCCTTTTCCCTCTGTCAGCATGAGTATATTCTTACTCCACTGGAAGCACATGTGGCTGTTTACATTGCGTTTGACAGCTTATGCTGACAGCTGAAGTGGGGGATGGGAACGTTGTATGTTGGTTAATTACAAGTCAGACTACTTTTCTGCTGCTTTCATGTAGGAGGGGACAGTCAGTCATTAGAGCTCCTGTGATCAAAGTGGCAAAGTATGGAGGCAGAGACCATAAAGATATTACCTCATCACAATACAACACTGATGCTTGGCATTGTTGGACAGTATAAAACACTCTCACATCCCTGTACATATTCTGCATTAAGTCACAAAGCAAATCAAAGTAATTAGCGATGCAATTTTTAGTGTTTGAAGTGAGAATCTCCAACAGTAGCCTTTGCCAAGTGTCAACCTACACGTTATTCTGCAGGGACAGACAGAGAAGTGACGACAACGGCTAAAAAAGGAAGACACAAGTGTGATCTGGTATCAGCGGAGGGGGTTATATTTATCTGATCTATAAAAGGGAATCTCTTTAATGAGGTTATGACACACATTCTCACTCTCACTACAGTCATGTGGGGGTCAGGGGACAACTTAACTATGTTCCTGGAACGCTGCTGGCAATGGAGCTGAGTCTGAGGAGGGCGCCTGTGTTTGCAAGCAGGCAGCTTATAGTGTGTGGGATGTTTTATTTTAAGAAACTGGAGAAAGTAAACAGCCTGGAGTCGAAAATTTAAGAAAAAGTTTCAGTAAAGTTCTAAACTTGGTGAATGGGTGTAGGTGGGTGTAGTAGTAGTAAGTGATGAGTACCAGGGTGAGCAGTCATGACGACAGGTTCAGATGTAGTCACTGTATTTGTCACAGTCTCTGAAAGCACGCTCCCATCGGCATTGGTAGTGGTTTGAGTTGAGGTTTCATCCCTGCCTGCAGGATTATGTGTCCACTGCGGGACCTCATACCCAGGATCCTCTGTCGGGTCAGGAGATGCTGAGCTTCCAGCATGACTCAGGAGTGCAGCCAAGGCGTGGGCAGGAGGCAAAGCACTGCTCTGACCTATGAAATCAAAGATGAATCATATCAAAGGGATACTAATTAATTAATAGATCAATTGTTTTGTCAATATACCGGTAACTGTGTCTAAACACCCCCCACCTCCCCAAACACACACAATTCCCCAGAGAATTAAAATATTCCAATGTCTTGTTTTGTCCGACCAACAATCCCAAACCAAAAGATATTTACTGTCATAGAAGAAATAGAAATGATTCACACCTGTGTAGTCAGCTACTTGATTCATCTACTCATTGCAGCTCTAAAAACCCAATGATATTCAATTTATTATCATAAATATCCACAAAAATCAGCAAACTGTCAATATGGAAAAGCTGGAACCATATAATTTTTGGGCAATTTTGCTTTGATTAATCGACTGACACATTGCAGTCCTCTGTTAAAAAATGTATGCAATTTTTATTTAAACTATGTGGTGTAACACAGTAGTGTTGTGTATTTTGGTGCTAACTTAAATGTGATTTAATATAAAAATGAGATTATGATGAAAAGTGTAAATGAAGTATGCCTCTATTAAAAGTTCAAATAGTCAGCATGAGCAATAAAAATAAAAGCCCGCCTTGTTGGTCAAAGGAAGGGCTGGTGCTGAGCGGGGAATAAGAAGTTTATAAGAGGAGTTCAAAATGTAATAATGATTGAATGCAACCGACAGTCCGTTTCTATAAGATAAACAGACTGTCGAGAGCATCATGTGCGTCGGTAACCAGTCAACAGGATGTCAGTCCACAACATCAACCACAAAGACCGCATACACACACACACAAACACACACACACACACACACACACACACACACACCAGGGATGACACCTTACCTCTTGTCTGAGATGAGCCGGTAAGGACCACCAACACGCAAAACACCCAATTAATTTCAAATTGCATCTCATTCGCGGCCTTACCCTGCCGATCACAATAAAAACGGACCAAAGCAGGCTCTCCACGGCAGCTCTACGTTTTCTGCTCTGGGGTTGTTTCCGTTACGTGATTTGACAGGGCACATCATCAGCGCTAAAAATATCCTGAGGGAGTCGGGCAGAAGAGAAGCAGGGGTGGGGCTGCAGGGCAGGCTTCACGCAGGCGGCGGCGGGAGCACAAAAGACGCACGCGCTTTATCCTAAACAGCAAAACGCGTAACTGATCCCTCTGCACATTCATGTTTCACTCTCCAGCTCTGTGTTTTTTTCCACCACCTGTCAAAGTCACTCATCTCTGCATCCATTCCTCCGAGAGATGCATCGGTTAGCAGTCGCTGTTGCTCAGCTGCTCCAATCAGATGCCAGTGCGTCAGAGGCGCAGTCGTCTGCGTCAGGAGCGCCTGTTGTAGAGCGCTGTAGCAGATGAACACACAATCAGGCTGTGGGCAAGTTTAACTGTGTTATTGTAGGCTTGCTTCAATATTATTTTCTGGACATTAATCAATGATAGGTGGATAGGTGGATAGGTGTCAGTGTTTGCTGGTGGTAATGTGAGACAACAACTTTACAGTCCCCACAGAGGTCAGTATGTCGTCATGCCTGAGCGCACTGCCCACATGTGTAGGCCTACTGTACGGCTGCGTCCTCTGTCAGCGTGCTGTCACACACTTTGGAGGACAGTGTCTCCTCGTTGTAATTTCCTCCTTTTTTTTTTTTTTTTTTACCGACCAGGCTTTAATTTCTGAAGAATATCCATCCAACAGGGAGACACCTTCACGTTGCGCCAGATGGAGCCTCCAGCCAATCCGGGAGACAGCCCGGTAGAGTTGGAGTTAACGGTGGAGAGTGTGGAGTCCGTAAGTTACTTGTTAAAAATCGGCCACCTCACTGGACGACTGTTTATTGAATTGAACGCACAGACGGAGCTTCTGTAATACAATTTAAAACAACAATGCTAATTTGAATATATATGTTTGTCAAAGTAAAGAGCTGCAGCATCATCTCATATTGATCTGGATATTTTATTATAGGCTATATTAAGCCAGAGTGAAACAACTGCAGTTTGGTCAAATAAAAAACGATAGTTTGTCAATTGTACTTTACCATAGGGAGATCACACAAACTGGACCTTCTGTAACATGATACCAGCTATAAGCATATGCTGTCCTAATAATAACTAACACCATGTGCTTTGGATTAGTTGCCATAGCAACACATTTCTTTACTCTGTTCAAATAATTGGCCTTCCAGCAAGTCAGCAATTCAATTTAAAATCTTGTCATGTATCAACAAAATAAAACGCAGATGCATTTATTGTCATTATACCTCCTCAGTCAAAGTAGGTAGGAAATATGAGGATATTGATTTTTGAACTTTATAATGATTTTGATCCACTCCTTATCAATATTATTGTTATCTGTTTCTTACCAACTTACCTATTGTTCAAGTGTTCCCTTTGTTTTGGTTCTTCTTCCCTCCTCCTCCAGGCTCTCTACCAACTCTACTTTGACCCGGACATGGAGCGTAAGAACGTGGCGCAGAAATGGCTGGCCCAGGCCCAGGCCTCTGCACAGGCATGGCAGTTCTGCTGGGCCCTGCTTGGCCCTGACAAGGTTGGTTGTTATGGTTCTGCTCAAACATTTTTGCAACTGCAAAGTCTATATTTGTATTTCAGTGTGCAAGTACATCAAGCAGAAAATGCAGTTAAGAAAGAAAAAAAAAAGAAGTTTCAGTTTTCAGATTTTCAGAATGAAATTTCAGTAGGCCAATGTGTCTGTCTCTTTGCAGCTCCCAGAGGTGCAGTTTTTTGGCGCCAGTACCCTCCATGCCAAGATTGCCCGTCATTGGAGTGACCTCCCCACAGACCAACATGAGAGCCTGAGAATGCAGCTCCTCTCCCACATTCTACACTTCTCTTCGGGGCCCAAAATGGTGCTAACTAGGCTTTGTGTAGCCCTGGCTGCTATGGCTCTTAACTTAATTCCAGAGGCTTGGTCCCAGCCGGTGGCAGACATGGTGAGGGCCTTCCAACCGCAGAAACCTGAAGGTGGCTCTGGTGCAGAGGCCACCCAGGACCCTCATGTGCACTGCCTTGCACTGCTAGAGCTCCTCACCGTACTTCCTGAGGAGTTCCAGAGTAGTCGGCTGGCTCAAGCCCGTCGTGCCCAACTGAGGGAAGCCCTGACTGGGGAGTGGGCGGTGGTGTGTCCCATGTTGCGCCAGCTGCTCCAAAGCCAGGACTCCTCAAACCAGGTCAAAGAGAAGGTGCTGCGCTGCCTGTCCAGCTGGGTGGGGCTGGATGTGCCTTTAGGGGAGAGTCATGAACTAGTCCAGGACTGTTTTACTGTGCTGTCCAACCCTGAACTGTTCGACACGGCTGTGGAGACGATAGTTAATGCCATCTCACAGCCTGACTGCCAGAGGTGAGAAACGCGCTGGATCATAAACTCAATAACATCACAGTCAACATTCAGGTGTGTCAATCAGAACATGTGTGTGCAGGTACATTGATGCTCTGGTGAACTTGATGCCTCTGGTGCTGGGTCTCCATGACCAGCTGAAGACAGCAGCTCATGATGGGGACATGGAAACCTCACATGGTATCTGTCGTATTGCTGTTGCTATGGGGGAAACACACTCCAGGTACACACAGATGCACACACACACACACACACACACACACAAACATACACACACACAGCCATCCTGTAACCTGGCTTCAGTAAATGTCTTTTATTTCTTAATTTGGATCAATGTGTTTGTGTATGACAGGGTTTTATTGGAACAGGTGGAGCACTGGCAAGAATATCTGGCTTTGGTTAACATGATTCTTTTCTGTACCGGCATCCCTGGGCACTACCCAGTCAGTGAGACCACCAGCTCCCTTACACTCACCTTCTGGTACACACTGCAGGTAAGGAGAATGAATGAATGAGGTCTTTTTTTTCTTTTCAGTTTACTAAGTTACTCTTATGCATTTAATGTGAAAGTGTGTCTTTGTGTAACTCTGTCTTCCAAAGGATTTGGACACCAAATTGTCTCTGAATTTTTTTCTTGCATGTTCAGGATGACATCTTGTCATTTGAGGAGGAGAAGCAGGCAGTTTACCTGCAGGTCTACCGGCCAGTTTACTGCCAACTGGTGGATGTGCTACTACATAAATCCCACTATCCCCCCCAGGAGGAGTACGCCTCGTGGTCTTCCGATGACAAGGAGCAGTTCAGAATTTACAGGTAAGACACAAAACTAAAGGAGGAGGGAGGTTTAAGGAGCTCCCTCACAAGAAAGAAAGTGGACAGAAAGTACATGTCTGTCTCATTGTGTTACAGACAGAAGTGCTTTGGAATAACAACAATTTATTTTGCATTTCAGAGTGGACATTTCTGACACTCTGATGTATGTGTATGAAATGCTGGGGGCTGAGCTGCTCAGTAACCTCTACGACAGGCTGGGCAGACAGCTGATGGACCCCCAACAGTCAGCAGTGTGGCAGGTGAAAGTATTTAATTACTGACTCCAATTGAAACACTTCATGTAAAAATGAATGTATCATCATATACAATATATTCTATAAATTGAAGGTAATTGTAAACAGTGAATAATATCCAGGGATGGAGTGTAAATCCATTGTGTCAAAATCCCCCGATCTTAATTTTGAGCCTTGACTAAGTCTACGTTACATTAACTATTATGAAATTGGTATGAGTTACACAAAGTCTCAAGTCTTTTCTTGTGAAGTAAAGTAAATTAAACTAATAATATAATTTAGATTATAATCACAGACCCGTTTCCATGTACAGCTACTATCTCTATGCAAAGTTTTACAAAAAGATTTTTACAAAACGTGTAATCTCTCACACTGTTTTTCTCCCTCATCAGGACACAGAGGCTCTGTTATTTGGCTTCCAGTCCATAGCTGAGACAATAGATGTGAACTACTCTGATGTTATCCCTGGTCTTATCGGTCTCATCCCCAGAATCAACATCAGCAACTTTATGCTGGCTGACACCGTCATGTACACCATAGGTACATACCCAGACACCTGTTTCCTATTGTGTCCCTTCATATCTCTCTGAATCTATCTCTACTCAGCTTTAACAAACTCATTTACATTCACAATCCATGCTGAATTTCCCCTGTTGGCCAGGATCCCTGGCTGAGTGGCTGGCTGACCACCCAGTGATGTTGGGTGGGATTTTACCCATGGTGCTTCAGGGCCTTGTGAAGGCAGAGCTGTCTGTGTCCAGCATATCGACTCTGAAGAGGATCTGCAGGGAGTGCAGACATGACCTCGCCCCCTACACCCAGGATATCCTCACTGTGTCACAGGTCTGACACACAGCCTTTTATTTATTTATTTATTTTTACATCGTTGTAATTTTTAAATGTATTAACACTTGTGTAACTCTGCAGGATGTGCTGGTGAAAGAAATCCATAAGGTGAGCAAACAGCCTTCAAAGTCCACCAGTTCTTTCCTATTAGGCACCAGCCGTCTCAGTGAGGACGTCATGTATGATATATTGTGTACTGTGTGTGTCTCTGTGTGTCTGTGTGCAGAGCAGCCAGTGCATGTGGCTGATGCAGGCTCTGGGTTTCCTCCTGTCCGCCCTGCCGGCAGAGGAGATTCTGGTCAGACTTCACTCTCTCATGACTCCTCACGTCCAGAAACTGGACACACTTGCCCAGCAAGAGGTATATAAAAAAACTCTCTCTCTCCCTCAACTTCTACACAAAACCACACAAATGCTAAAATAATAATGTAGTAGAGGTTGTGCAAGTACAAATTGGTTATATCACGTATACTATATTAAACTCAATAAGTGCATTTGAAGCACATTTTGGTGATAAATGGTATGAATGCAGTTGATTGCATTTAATATGACTATGGTAATAATTCACTGTAATAAGTACACTACAAACCAGTACAATATATTTTAATGTAACTGTATGAAGATTTGGTAAACGTTGACATTGATTAATGTAGATAGAAGTATACTGCATAAGGAGTATCTTTAAAAGATGTTTTTAATATATAATGAACACTACTCCTATAGAGTGCGGATAAAATATATTTTAATGAGCTCATTGACACTCTTATCCAGGGTGATAGACAGTGAGGAGGTCAGGATTCAGTGTCTGTGTCTGACATGTCTGTTGACAAAGGACTCAGATACTAGTGGCTTCGTTTTAAAGCAGCATTTGACACAAGTTTTACGGTAACAGTAAACAGTAGAACAGTAAAATTGCCCATGGCTCTTACCATCATATCATTTCATCACGAGGGTACACATCAAACACATTCAGTTTGTCTGCCTTTGCAGCCTAATCCCACCAACAAACAGTCTATCATCCACATTCTGGGCATGCTGTCCAGTCTCTTTACCACTCTGGACATCAACAGACAAGCAGACAGCTCAGAGGGAGCATCCAGCCCAAGACCTGCTCCCTCACAGAGCGCACAAAATCCAGTAAGTTTATCCATAAATACTGTGCACTTACGGACATGGGTAACATTAGCTCCATTATCATTTATTACACCAGCTACTGTATCTTTGCTACTGTGAACTGAAAACAAGTGTGAAATGACTTTAACTGCTCCCTAACACATCATTCAACTGGTGATTTGTGCATCAATATTTTTGAACGTGTAAAAAATTTAAATATGCTGAAATAAACCAAACATACTTATTTGACAAGTTCATATGTACCGCATGACAAGTTTATTTTATCTCTTTCTGAGGTTGTTGTTGTGCTACAGCAAGTGTTTGCGTTGATCCAGACCATCCTCAGCAAGTGGCTTAACGACTCAGAGGTCGTCGAGGTAGGAGGGTTTTGAGTGCTTGCATAAATATGTGTGATGTTGTGTGTGTGAGTGTGTGTCTGTGCATGTATGATCTATCTGTGTGCGTTTTACTGACTCACACTCACTCGTAGCTCCCCTCTCTTTCCCTCCCTCCAGGCAGTGTGTGGGGTGTTTGATAAGTCAGTTCGAACCCTCCTACATGATTTCGGGCCCATGGTGGCTCAGCTGAGTGAGATGCTGGGCCAGATCTATAGCGCATTCCCACAAGCCTCAGCTCTGGACCTGGCACGGCAGGTACGCCTCCCACAGCTCAGGGCCTGAATAAAAGCATTTTCCCTCCAAATGCACTGAAGACACTTGGCATGTTCTTGGGATCACATGTCATTCACTTTCTTTTTTCTGTTAGATGGTTCACATATTTGCCGGAGAGGAACACCACATCTCTGACATCAAAAGCCTTACTGAAGTGTTGACTTCAGCCACACTTACCATATTTCAGCAAGGTAGCAGACGCCTGCAAAGAAATTTCTATTTATCTTCAGTTTGTCTTGTCTCATCTTATATTTATTTTACAGGTCCACGGGATCATCCTGATATTGCAGAATCATTTATGCACCTTCATTCTCAGGTGGGTTGAATATTTTAGTCCATTGTTTGGCACACAGAAAACCTTGCTAACCTCTTGGTGTTCTTTACTGTTAGATTCTTAAAAGGAAGTCTGATTTGTACCTGTCTGACCAGTTGGACGTTAAAGCGCTGTTTTACTGTGGTGAGTATCATTACATGCTTGTACTGTATACAGGTCTTTCTTACATATATGACTCAATATCTGCTGTAGGAAAAATAAGGAAAATTTTATGCATATTTCTGCACCTTTTCATGGCATAATTTTAGTCCCTTTACATACTCAATGTTCAATGCCATTTGTTCAAAAATTACTGTGTTCAAAATCAAGACTGTTCTCTCTTCTTTCCCCCATGATCTCGAAATTCTGCCTGAGACAACTATCATTAGTTGGCGCAGTCATTAAAAAGTTCTTTTTATCCTCTGTTTTCTCCAGGGATTCTATCACTGAAGTTCCCAGAGACACCCACAGTAAAAGCTGCCAGTCTGTTCTTTGTGAGTTGTGCGAGGTTTCACTGTAAGCTATAGTTTTGATGTCATTTCAACTCATCAGCTCATAGATTGTTGCTAATTTCACCCTGTCCCCGGCAGACCGAGCTGTTGCCTCGTTGTAAAGACATGCCCTTGCTGGGCGATGTTCTGCAGAGGGATGGAAAGCTTCTGACAGAGACTGTACTCCAGGTGAGTAAGCCATTAGACACAAGACAACTAGATATAGACAATGTGTCAGGCCCTGTGTAACATATTGTTATGCATTGTATTCCTGAGATTAAAATGGAAGCATACTGTTTGCTTTTATTTCTGTCTCAGGCGGTCGGAGGCGGTTCACCACGCAGTCTGACAGAGCACTTCTCTGAGGTGTTGTTGAGTCTGAACAGACACTGCCCAGCTCTGCTGTCCCAGTGGCTGGAAGAAACACTGCAGACCCCAGGGTTCCCCTCCGCCCAGGTCTCCACAGAGGAGAAACAGACCTTCAGACTGCAGCTTTTAAGGTAATAATATACGTGTTAAGGCTGTTTTCCTCCAGTGTTTTGATGCAGCATTAGAAAGCAAATCCGGGTTTTAAAAGGTGTCCTCAAAAGTCCTCGTAAAAAAACATAAATCATATGCTGGTGCCTAATAGAAAATACTGTAAGAAAAATTCATCATTCAAGCAAGGAAAATGACAAACAACCTTTATGAAATCATAATTTCAAATGTGTAGTCATTTAGTGATTATTAACAAAACCGCTTCATATGATATTAGGTCATCTTCATCCACACCTCACACTGTGATAGTCCTAATGAGACACCTTTAATAAAATAGTTTGAGAGACAAATTGTATCTTGTCATGACTATTATAAGCATGTGATTTATATCCTTGAAAATAACTGGGACTGTAAGTAATCTTAAAATAATTATTTCATGATTTACACTAAATAAAAAAGCATAATTGGTCATAATAACAATACTACATCATTACTGAACAGTTCTGACCCTTTTAGCTTAGGGAAATAAAAGTATTTCCTCATCACAAATCCAATTTTTGGATGACGGTTGAGGCCAAAGTGACACAGTGACATGTGTTTTGACAAAGTTCATTGACATCGTTTTCTTTCTTCCAGTGAGCAAACCAACAAGCGTCGCGTGAAGGACATCGTGAAGGAGTTTTCTTTGCTCTGTCGGGGCCTGCAAGGGTCTGGATACTAGAACACTAGAGTGTGCCACTAGCACTCGGGACTTTCCCAAGTCCATCTCTGAGAAGGTAACCACAAACAAATCGGAAAATGTCAATGATAAATGGAGTGTTCACTCGACTATTGAAAAACCTTAACACTTGGACTGAGCCAAAGCAAACACACAGATGAAGTGGACTGTTATTTGGAGGAGGGACCTCTGTGTGACATTTTTTTAATACCTTTTTCAAAGCAGGATCAAATGAAAGTGCTCCTTATCTCCAGGCATGGATACAGTCCATCTGACAAACTGAAAAAACACTAATAAACGGTTCATTCTTTGCAGCTGCATGAGCAACTGTGTGTGAGTGTTCTCTTATTTATTGTTTCTCTTCTGTTGTATACTGCTTGTAGATCATATTCACACATTATCAAAATATAGAAACCCCCCCCACACACACACACACACACACACACACACACACACACCATCTTCTCTCTATTACAAAGGAGAGTCTTTTAAAAATGTGACGTCTTACATTATATAGCTTCGAACTCTTGTACATTTATACATCTGCTAATATATACTAAAACAATTTCATCACTTCCACAAAAAACAAAAAAAGACAACACCTACATTTTAAAGCAGACAACATGTCCTGACAATATACTGTTTTTTTTCAGTCATCAGTGACATGGCAGTTGTTGATGGAAGTCGGCATCCTCTGTAGAAAAGTGGATTTGAAAAGGACTGCCATAGTAGTGGTTGGTGCACTGAGGGATGGTGCTGAGATGAGCAGGCTCTAAGAGCTAGTCTGTGAGTGTGGTTGGTGACTCTGTGCGTTTAAACCAAAGAGCTCAGTCCTGAAACCAGCCCTGACCCGGGCTGTTCACTATCGAATTCTTGTGAAGAGGTTCAGCACTGACTTTGATTCCTGGGAAGACAAGGAAATTAAATAGTGTCAAAAAAATTTAAATATGTCACATTGTCCTTGAATCCACAGTTGCCATTATATGTCGGGAGAACATTCATTTTAAGAAATTTTTAAATAATGGTTTAGTGAAATTCAAGTACTTAAATCAGACATTACGCAGGCTTTGTCATGTTATGATTTTGTCCATGGGCCTTCAGAATTACTTTCAAGAACAACTTTCAAGATATCGTTCACTAACTTCAAACAACAAAGGCATCAGTATCTGTATATAATATAGATGTGGCACTGTAACTGACAAATACACAGTACCTTGGTGCAGCGTGTCTTACTGAAGACGTTCCAGAAACGTAGCGTCTCATCCCCGGCTCCTGTAACGATGGCCTCCCCATCTGGTGACACGGCCTGAGAAGGATGGACGAAGAGAGAGAAAAACTAGTGGGGGCGACCCTGCTGCCATGTTATGCTACTTAGTACATTTCAGGTGGAAATACTGTAGTTTTTAATCTATTACATTTATCCAACAGCTGAAGTTACTTTGCAAATAAAGTGCTCTGCACACCCACACAGGTGTGTTCAATAGCTTTTTCCAATGGTTCGTCTACTCATGTGCAAGTTGGGTGGAACTATGAGATGTTGCCAAACTCTGTATACTAATAAGAATCGTAAAATTGTCCCACCCTAACAGGTGGGGACATGTCAATCAACAGCAGTTTGTACATAGCCTCACAGTCCTGAGAAAACAACATGTACATTTTACACTTACAGGGTGCACTCTGCATAATGAGTAATTCGAAAGAACATTTCTCTGATAATGCTTACATACTCTTACATACTTTTACTTAAGTATGATTTTAAATGTAGGATGTTTATTTGTAAACAGTATTTTTACACCCTGGTTTTGCTACTTAAAGCATCTGAATACTTGCTCCACCACTGGATAAATGCTTCCTGTGCATTTCATAATCTATAAGGGTAGGTTGAGTTGGTAGTCCAGTTACATTGACACTGAGCATACACGGCCATTCATTTTGAGCTTTAGTCTTACCAGATACAACACTCTATAGGAGTGTCCTGTCAACTTGGCCACCTGCGTCAGTGACGGATACTTCCACACCAGGATCTGGTTCTGAGAGTAGCCGTGAGTGCTCACCTGTTAACAAAAGGGACAACAATGAACTAAAAATCCCAATAAAAAAAAACCCACAACTTCCACTTAGTCTGGACTTCTGTAGTGCTGCGCTGGACTTCATTGTCAACTCTCAGTATAATTCAGTCCAATACAAAACCCACGCTAACTACAGTACCGTCTCAAACATTACTACACTGTTGAATCAGCGTCTTTTTGATGCTGTACCAACAAAAACTGAACATTATACAGTAAGCTTCACATTCAGTAGGTTGCTGTTGCAGAGATATTGTATGGCATTATATGTGCACTCACATACGTGCTGAATAATTAGAAACAAAGTATATTAACTGGTCAAAATGTTACAAAATGTCCCTTTACTTTAGACAAAAAAACAATAAAAATGTGAATGTGAAATATTGCTAGCTTCAGCTGCTGTCATTTTTATCCAATAATGTGATTATATTTTTTGTAAATTTATTACATTAATGGATTAGGAAGCATAATATCTATTTTGACCTATTATTAAATCAGAATCAGAATCAGCTTTATTTGCCAGTTTTGTGTACACATTCCAGGAATTTGACTCAGGATTGTACATTGCACACGATGTGCTTACTTACAATAATAAAATCAGACACAGGCTACAGTTTAGAGAACACATATATACACACTCTACAAAAAGAAAAACAGTATAGACAAATTGAGACAATAGTGCAATATTATTATTATTATTATTATGACGTACATGTCGAAGGTGGATGAGATAAACAGGTGCACATACACATACATGTACAAAAGATGCTGGAATAATTAAGTATTGTGTGCAGGTGTTATGTACTTGAGGTAGGTGGATTTGGTATACAGCGGGGGTTTTCAAAGTCTGAGACTGCTGGCCTCCCCTCAGACAAAGCTTGGGAAACGGCCCTCCCATCACATCTTTAGTTTACTTTGTAAGTTTTGCTCAATTCCTGGATGCCTATGGTATCATGATTCTATTATTTGATCCTATAGACACTCAAAATTTGAGCCAAAATATCCTAATATTGCTGTTTGACATATCCTTGAATTGCCAATATTTGCATACAGAGCTTGCATCTCCATGGCAGCATGTACATTTGCGAGTCTGTGCTTGTGTATGCTGTGTGTGTGTGTGTGTGTGTGTGTGTGTCCTCACCAGTTCGTTGGCATGTTTGGACCATGCCAGGTTGCAGACCTGGGAGCCGGTGTCGGTGCTCTGCAGCGCCTGACCTGTCAGTGTGTTCCAGAAGCGCAGGCAGCGGTCGGCAGTGCCGCCCCCGGACGCCAGCAGCCCGTGTTGGTGGGGCGACCAGGCAATGGCCTTCACCGCTGCCAGGTGGTCACTGTACTGCTGCACAGGGAGCAGGCTGGAGCTGTTCCACACCAGCAGCTGGAAGTGGATCTCAAAGCTTGAATATGTTCACTTTTACTGTAACAGATCATTCCAGCTAGTCTCAGGATGCTTCCCTACAGGATAGGTCAATTTACTGAAAAGTCACTAAAGTTAAGTTTTAAATTCTCTCACCTTGTTGTCGTTGCCTCCGGATGCAAGGTGCTGGTGGTCAGGAGACCATTTGAGACCGCACACTTCTTGTCTGTGACCTTGCAGCCTCCTCTCAGCAGAAGGGGGGGTTCTGACATCCCGCTGTAGGATCACTCTGTCCCGACTCCCTGACGACAGCTGCTCTCCATTCCACGCCAGGGCACCTTGGGCACAAAGGGTAGGAGGAGATGGTCTCATATTTCACTGTGGCTGTCATGAATTCATCTGGTGTGTCTTGATATGATAATAACACATGGTCAGTGTTACAATACACACCATATATTGGAATTTAGGGCTATGGCCAAAACTTTTCAAAACCTCTGTTAGGAGATTCTCCTGTAATTCTTTTTTGTTTTGCTAAAAGTAGACTCAAACTTATTTTAACCAGCAGTTCGTAATTCCACTTCACTCCAGCTACGACTGACCTACACGTGCGGAGTGACCCTCCAGACTGGTCAGCTTCCTCCCTCCTGCTGCGTCCCAGATCTGAACGTAACCCTTGTGGGTTCCGACGGCAACGAGACTACCCTGATAGGACCAGAGCCAAAGTCAAACATGCAGTGATTTCACCATTTTTTCTCTTCTATAATTAATTATCAATTACAAATAATTTATTTTCTCTTATACTACTGTCATGAATAAGCAGCAAGTCTAGTCTCACCCTCTCATTCCAACAAACTGATGTAACAGAGTCTCCGTCCACTGAAAGGTCACATAACCTTGTCACCTGTTAAAAGACACAAAGTATATTCATTTTCCACTTTTCTCTTCAGACACACACTATATTCCTTCCTGTTTATGCTTCAAATTACAACTCAGAAGAGAATCTGCAATAAAACTCAAAACCGTAAACGACTGTCTTTATGTTGTCCTCTGACCTGGCTGGTGCAGGCACTCCACAGGTACACACATGCTCCTAGTCCGACACTGAGCAAATTGCCCGCTGACCAGTCTACCAGGTTGAGGTAGAAGTCGTCCTGCAGCTCCGGAGCGTCCAGCACTTTGAAGGGGATCTTGGAGATCTTGCGGGCTGGTTTACGAGGGGAGCGAAGCAGTTTGTGACTACGGAAACGCAGAGAAGAAACGTATCAAACTAATCTGTTATCAGACAGCTGTTCCTGTCCAGTGTGCAGCATGCGAGATATGTCGTACCTTTTGTTACTAAGTGGAGAAAGGGAGTACGGTGAGACTTCATTATCGCTATTGAAAGGCACTCTCTTAGTGTGGACAGTGTACTGCGGAGGACGAACACACAAAGCAGAATTATAGTTTGGGATTATTTTAAAGTTAAGCCGCACACAGTTAACATTAACTAATGTTAATGTGTTTTTTTACGAAGCAAACAAGTCAGCAACATCAACATATTCATGAGAAAATCTTGGATACGACCAAAATCTTTCCCTTTCGTCAAGCTGGCTTGAGTTAATATCATTCCTACTAAGCTTACAGCTTCATCATTATGACATCACTGTTAGTGACTTCTATTTGAGAACAAAATATTCTGGAAGTGAAGCACTTTTTTTGTTCTTCTTCATGACTTGTACCCTAAAAAGGCTGTGAGAGTCTTGAGAGAGGACTGCATGCCGCCGGTCGTCCGTGTGAGGGTCTGGCACAGTCTCTATCCCTGCCCCCAGTAACTCGTTCCTCAACAGGGCAGCGTATGCCACAGCATCTGGGGGGTGGTGATGGAGATACAGGTGATGCTGGTGTGGCTGCAAACTGGGATGATTCAAGATTCAAGTACAACAAAGCGTAAAAAAAAACAACTGACCTTTGCTTGAATCTGAGCTGGCATCCTTTGCTTTATGGCTCTGATTTGGGGAGCGACAGTTCTCCTGTGGAGAAAAGGAAGTCCATTTCGACATAGTTGTGATCGTCAAGCTGTGTGTTATTGTTGGGCCGTGTTAAAAGGTCAAGCTGACTGAGTAGACGAAGAACTAACTGCTCACATTGGCATAGTGGAAGTTGATGCTCCAGTTGCTTCCAGCGCGGGTGGGAATGAAGCGGTCCCCTGACTTAACACTGACAGGACTGCAGGTAACACTTACACACTGGGATGGCCAAAGAGAGACAGTAAAACCATTTCAACCTACTATTTTGAAAAAAAAGATGTGGGCATACAGGGTCTTTAAATGTCTGTACCATACCATAAGGAGAACTAAATTATACCAAACAGATTCACAGGGGATAAAAGATTCACCCAGTTATCATACACACACAAACAAGTCAGCCTGTTCCATAAACCAACATTCACAGACATAAAGAGATTTTCTATCCCTCTCTGTATCTCACCTTTGACAGGCGGGCCTCTGTCGGCAGGTTCTGGTGGTTGATTTGCCTCAGCAGCCGTCTCTCGTACTCTTGGTCCATCTCCTCAAGGCTGACGAGCAGCAAGGCCCCTCTGCTGGCTCCCCGCCCCCTTTTTTAAACCTCCGCTCCCTCCCGTTGAGGAAATCCACACTGGATGCCCATCTCTGTGGAAGAAGAAAGAAACAAAACATGTCAGCTTAATTCGGAGCAGAAACCAATGTGAAGAGTCCAAGGACACAAGCAGCTATTTTGAATGGGTTAACGTTACCCACACACCAAACGGCCCGGTTAGCACGATGCCTGTGCATGTCAGCGCACTTCAGGTGCTATTAATGTTGCCCGTGACATGGTTTAAAGAGCAAGCAGTTTCTCACTCACATAAAAGCAGACAGATGTTGAGGTAAAACTATGCTCGCGCTCACATCAGCCCATTTACAAGCAATGTAACATCAGCTGACGGCTCGACTGACGTTGTCTCTTACCCGTCTGACACGGTGGGCTCAGGTGACCAAAACAACTGTCATCTTCGGTGGGAAAGATCAGCGCTGCCGCGGGGACACTGTGCTCGTTTTCTTCCAAATGACAGTGGTGCACCAAAATGCCAACGCGATCCGCTGGTGTTGTTTATGTTCGCGACAAAGATGGCGACCGAATCAGCTGTAGCAGAAATTCTTGGGCTGACTTCTGCTGTCTGTGCAGTCCAAGCAGTGCAAGGCTCAACTGCGACGCCCGCTGTCGATACATGCTCTCTGCATCACAAGTCACACTGCGGTTAGTCCCTATGTGGTCACAGGGTGTCGCTACTACACTGCAAAATAATTTGCCTTGTGCTTCCAAGCAGAGGGATTATGCGCTAGAAATCGAGTATGATGACTAATATGCTGAAAGTCGTGTAGTCTGCGCGAGCCTTAAGGCATGGGTTTCAAAGTCTGAGACTGTGGGCTTCTCCTCAGACAAAGCTTGGGAAAAGGCGCCCCCTCACCCCCCTTAGTTTACTTGCTCAGTTTCTCAATAACCTGGATACCTATGGGAACGCGATTATTTTATTTTATCCTATAGACATTCAACAATTGAGCCAAGATACTTAAAATTGCTGTTCAACTTCAGACCTCACCAAAATACATAAAAAAAGGTCTGTCCTAAGGCATTTATTAGTTTCTTACTCTGATAAAGTGGGGGGAAAGTAGCCTACCAAAAACTTCTGTATGCTATTCTATGTGATCTACTTTTGATAACTAATGTAGGCTAATACTTTTTCACTTCCATTTACTGAGCCTCTCCTGAAACTGTTTTTCCAGACAAAAGGACTATACACATGTTCATGTATGTGGCACGTGAAATCCCAGTTTTAATAAGGTCAGATGAAAATGACAAAAATAGTTGATAAAATTGATAAAAATTTTCATTTTTTATTATTTTTTACACATACAGCATTTGGGTTCTGTGAGACGTCAAACAATGAGGAAGTAAAGCCAATGTCAACAAAACACAGGGATTAAACAATTATAGGGATTATACCACAATCAGAATAAAAAAAGAAAATATATGAAAACTATTTCCCCATACCACCACACACCGCAAAAGCCATGGTTTCTCCTACATTTCTAATTAACTTTAAAACCAACCTCTCACAATCATTTGCATACCATCTGTGCTTTCATCAATAGTTGCATGTCAAGCAGAGAGTGGGGGCATTGATAGCACATGTTTGCCTTAGGGCCCCCTGTGTGTGTATGTGTGTGTGTGACTTCAAAGTAAATAAAGATCTTACATTTGCCCTCACTGACACTAAATTTTCCATCCCCTGCTTAAAGCGCTGGAGAGCACACTTCGCAAATGAAACAGCAGATAAACATTTACTCTTTGAACTCAACACGTGTGGTTTTTGCTCAAACACTGACAAAGAGAACGAGACGGAAATACTGGACCGCTGCTGCCAGCTCTTTAATGAGACTGACTAACACGGTAGAGTGGAGACAAGGCATGGCATTTCTGGTGGCACACTGGTCTGCAGTATGCTACATCTACATTTAGGCCTACATACAGACTTTCATTTAAATAATGGCCCAAAGCCCAAAGAAGTCAAATGATCAGATATTTCCCAACTAGCAAAGATTAGAGCAGTATTTCCCAACGTTTTGCCACATCTACCCCCATAATAGTGGGTGGGGGTTACTGGGTTTATCTGCAAAATAATCCCTTGGATAATGATAGGGTAAAATTTGCATCAGATTCAAACATCACACCAATAGGCTATATATTATAATTTAATATGTGGAGTTCAGCAGCACTAAGTTATGGTATTGTCATTATTTCACCATTATTAAACTACTACCCATTATTTTAGCTAACAACTTCAACCATTTATCCATTACTTTTAGCTAACTATTTTAAATATCGTGATTGCTTTTACCTAACCATTTTAACTGTTATTAATTTACCTACTTTGAACTAAATATTGGCACTAGTTTTGGCTAGCTAGTTTTCATGCTCTTTTAACATAGGCCTAGTGTTCAGGTGTTACTGCTGACTCAAAATGTTGGTAATGTTTTCATTTTAATTTTAAATGTAATTTTTTTTCAGGTGTGTGAGCAACATTCACTTCCCATACCCCCCTGGCAACCCTGGTTTGGGATCACTAGATTAATACAAATTTGAGTACCAGAATTCCTTTTTCTAATTTCCTACCCATTTGATCATTTCACAATTACCCAGGTTAATCTTGTGACCCTTTGGTGGGGGCCTGACCCCTACGTTGGAAAATACTGGACTTACTGTTTATAAAGTAGTTAAAACTAGCCCCAACTCTGCCAGTAAAACATAATGTCAGTTATGCCATAATGCATCAGTGACTATCTAATGTACTATAATATATCAGGAACGGGCCATTTCTCTGTATAATGAGAGTAAAATTATTTATAATTGAGTATTTTTATATTATGGTATTGGTACTTTCACTTAAGTTAGGTATATGAGAAGTTTTCCACCACGGTAGGCCTACAAGTTTACTCTACTCACCACGCACACATTCCACACATGTGCACGCATGCAGACCCACAGAGACACAAACACCAGGATTAGCTACTTACAAGAAGCTATCTGACCATCATCACATTTTGCTTTTAGAGAGCCCAGTCACAACAGACTCTCTTATCTGCATCCTCCATCACTTCTACATGGAGCAACGTGCAGCCATGCCCACGTTTGGGAAACTTGAGGCCGACGTGGAGGCCAGCGTCTGTAGGTGTAGAGTGGCTGTCTGCCCCGGTCAGGGTGGAGGGGGAAATGCTGCTGCCTTATCGCTCCTGTAAGACAGAGCAGTCCAACTGGCACAGAGGAAGCTGGGGCAGTGCTTGCAGACTGTGACTCTGTAAGATACATACTGGAATTCACAACAAAACAACAACAGGAATCTGACTAATCTCATCTCTCGTACAATGACAAGAAAAATAAAAGTTTCAGAATGATAAATAATTGGAAAAAATTGACTTTGCGACACTGGAGGTGTTAAACGCAGGCGTAGCATTTTTTCCAGGCAAACATGAACAGCTTTATTGTTCATATCCTCTCACAGAAAGATGTTATGGAAAAGGTAGTGCTGGTACATGGGCCTGGAAAATACAGCAGCAGTGTATTACCGTAAAAAACAACAATCTTATCTTTAAATCATGTCAGCAGTGCCATGTTGTTTAGTCAGGTTAACAAACTGTGTTGTCAAACTCTAATTTCCCTATATTTTAAATATATATTTGTGTGTTTTGGTGAGAAATAAAGGGACAACATGCAAGAATAAAGCTCCCAGGTCATATTCCTATCTAAGCCTCGTTGGTAGATCTAAATGACCGAGTTTGCATTGTGCTGCAGAGAGCATGTTTTGTTTATCTCACCCCTATAGATTCTGAAGGCTTCCCCTCTCTTTTTCTCTCTTTCAGTCTCTTTCCCTCTACCAGTGAAAGTGCCACTGCAGTGCATGTTGAACATCTCCTCCCACGCACTGGCTCACTTTGACACACCAGAGAGCCTAACTACCCCCCACTCCCCCACTGTCTCTGAGTTTGTGTCAAATAAGGACAACTATTGATCTGGGCAAAATCAAGAGAAGGAGATGTGGGTGAAACGTGATTTGGCTTACAGTGGATCTTTATATTGATCGGACCACCATGGTAGCAAAGTTCAGAGCCGGTTATTTGGTGAGAAAAGCCTAAATCCACACTGCACATGGAATGTGGTGTTGGTATGGGTTTCAGGTTGCATCTGTACATCCATAATCAATATTCACTATTCCATTTTTCTTCTTTTCCCCTCAGGTGTATTGGGTTTCCTCTTCACCCATCTTCAAGTGCCACATCTGTTTTGCAGTGTGTATCTGATTGTGTGTGTATGTGTGTGTGCGTGAGAGCATGCATGTGCCTCAATGTGTTATCTCTGAGTGTGCATGTATAATCCCAGGGGTGTTTTTATTATTTATTTTTTTAAATAAAAAAATTAAAAAAGGATGACAGCATGCTCTTGTGAGCCACTGCGTCCCCACAGGGATGTTCCCTTTCGTGTCCTAACAATTCCCAGGCTGGCAGCACGCTGGGTAACAAGCCCTGAGGAATCAGCACAAATGTCAGGCTGGTGCCATGTCCTTAAATGCATAGTGATAAATGTGATTTGACACAGACCACTGACTGCTTTACACACAGGCTAATGTGTGTAATGAGAAAAATGAGAAAAATACATTTATCACAGAATTACCATAATATTTTGTACTCCACATGCTTAACCTGAGTTATATTTTTCTGTTTTTTCCATAAAGGCAAAGTCTGATTAATATTACTCAAAGTTGAAAGTAAACACTGCATGGCCTTGTTTTCCCTCATGGAAAGGTCAGAAGACCATGTCTTACATTTTGGATGTGTTTTGACACTTCTCTTGCATTAGCTCATTCTGTGGATTACATAACTGCTGCCATAAACATTATATATATATATATGACAATATTTGAGGGATTTGCATGCACACACAAAACCAGACTGAACAATGGCCTATCTAGGATGACTGCCGCCATGTTTGATAACTAGATGATCTGTGACATTTTCTGGGAAGGACACATCCTGTTATTGTCCTAATCCTGCATTTTAGAGTCCATGAAACACAAGAAACAGACACACACACACATATCCAAGAGGCCTTAGAGGAAGTTAACTGCCTCATCATTTTCTTTAGAGCAGGGCAGAACTGTCTTTTTCAGCACACTTCCTTACCCATCTGTCTCAGCCACTCTGAGCTGATCTCTGCCATCTACACACACGCCTGGAAAGCTATTGAATTATCCTGGAATGCCCCATATTACCCTGTATTCCTGCCACTGACTGCCCAGTTGACTTCAGTCCTTACTGTCAACCCAACTAAAAACAAACAGCAGCTGGCCAGGAGAAACTCCAGGAAGACATTTGTTTTTATAAAGTGGATATGGAGAGAGCAGGTTTGTTTTGCTGGAAGTGGTTCTCTTCCTCTCTTGCCTTGGCCCCAGGCCGTGGGCCCTTTCAGGGCCTGGCTGGTAGAGTGGAGAAAGGAGGTTGACTGGCTGTCAACTGGATCCACTGGCAGTAGGAGCCTGCGGCCCTGCCTGAACCCAGGCAGCTCACAGACACATGCTGCTGGGGCCGGGGCGGTCTGCCCTCACCCTGCTGACGTCAGTCACCAACAGACCACAAGACTTGTGTTAGAGTTTCAAACAAACACGCTGCCCATTGCCATGGCACTATGGACCACCACCATGGAAAACGCCAGTCCTCGTCTGCACCCATGTTTACCATAAACAGTTGCCTCATTTTTGCTGAATGTAAAAGAAGAGGACAATGGTTCAAGTTTCTTGTTGTCATCCATATACAAACAAACAAACAAAACCAAATCTAATCTCTTCATAATCTGACCTGTGATTAATTTATTATATTAATCAATTATATATCAAACATGGAATACATTTTAGGTAAGGACATTTTGCACTGTCAGGAAAAAAGGACCTAGATTGGACTCCGATAGGACTAGTTCAGTATTTCTCTGCACTGTTTTCATAGCTAAGTAATGAGTGCCTTTGAAAACACTGGTCACCAGATGAATGCAGTAAAATACCAGAATTTCACGACAGCCAGAACTCTTTATCTCAGCACATGAGCAGAGAACTAATGGCAGTTTAAGTATTAATGATATTTATCAGTGGTTTAAGAAGTACTCCACTCTTTTAATTAAGTAAAAGTAGCAATACCACAGTGTAGTACATACTTTGTTACAAATAAAAGTCATGCATTTAAAATTTGTCTTGTGTAAAAGTACAAAAGTATTAGCATAACAGTATACTTGGTTACTTTCCAACCACTTATCCACCCTAAAACCTTTCACCACAAAGGCCGTGAAGATGAGATTACATGTCTTCAGTTAAGTCTTCCCTCTTACTCAGAAACTGAAATCTGTAAAAGTCAACACTTGGCTTCATGCTGATTTTACTCAGCATGCCTCCTGTTGAACACGTATTCCAGATGCTTATCTGCCTGGGTCAAGGTACCTTAGGGCCCAGCACACAGCATCACTATCTCTGCCCTTCCTGTTTACATTTCAAATCAGAGTGAAGCCCTGTCACTGGTGTCACTGCAGGGAAGAGACTAAAGACAAATAGTTTTCCTCTTTCTGTGCCTTCCACCTGGTTTTCTCCCCTCGGAGTTGCAAAACTGGAACTATGATGTGAACAAAAAACACATTGGTTACTCTATTGTAATTGGGGATCATGTTTGTGAATGTGGCTCCTTTTAGTCATTTATAGGTAAAACAAATTCCAACATATAATCACTCCACCTTCAGGGTGATAAAAAGTTTTGAGATGAGGATAAAAATATATAAATTCATGACTATGTAATTCACTAGTTCTAATAGTTTGTTTGCTGATGTAATCCAAGAAACTCAGAGACCAGAACATTCTGTAAT